AAGTTTGTCTTTATCCAACATTTATCCAACAATTTAAATAAATTATTTTTACTCTAGTCTGCTTGTTTTGTTAAATTAATGACAGCTATGGGAGAGCTGGCAAGGAACAATTAACCTCCTGGCACTGGCTTGAAGAGTTGGTAAGGGAAGTTGTGAGTAGGAGGTGTTCTGGAATGTCTGTTTGCAAAGTTATTATATGGCACTGACATATTTCTCAGAATTATAAAAACAGAATATTTACAATTTAAAGGGTAATAGGGGTAGGTGGATATGTATTATTAGGTGTCTTGCCTTAGGATACTTACTGGCTATGATTCCAACCTATTCCGAGGCAGTGATGTTGCCACTGATCTAATTCTGTTTGGCCTTTGTTACCTGTGTGTGGGTTAGTGCATGGGCTGCAGGCATGTGCTCCCAATATTCGTCAGACCTGGGATGGCCCATTGGAATATTTCCTGGTGTAGTATGGTTTCTGAGGCTGACTGGGCTGCTAGACTACAATAACTATGTATGATGTCCTTGGAGGTGTTTGCTAATGAACACAATGTGTGTAAGATTAACAGTAATGGGTCATTCATAACACATTACAGTTGGGATTGATGTAGGTGGTGGGAAACAGATCCTGCATCTCTTATGCATGCACAGCTCTCTGTGAATGTTCCTTCATACCATCATAGTAATGTAGGGTCCTGGTTATATGATAGCACACCTTGCAACTCCAGCAGCCTCCATCTGTCACATCTATATATTGAACAGTCAATGTCAAAAGTTTGTTGCGCAAAAAAGACCACTTGTTTGCACGTGCCTCTCCCTGGCGAATATTTGCTAGCAATCCCCAGATGGTGAGACCCCATTGTCTCACTTTCTGAAAAAATTTTGAAAATGAAGGATGTTGCATATATTTTTATTTGAATTTTAACCTTTCTTTTCTATTTTAACTGTCTTTATTATTTATTAATTCATTATTTTTTTTTGAAAGCGTCAAATGTTAACGCTGATGTTGCAATAGAAACTGGTATAAATGCTGGGACAGAAATTGAAAAAGGAACTCTACATTTGAAAACCATAATAGAAAATAAACACAAAAGACTTTTGCCGCTAGCCATGTTAGGTTAAAAAAGAATACTGAGAATTTGTTTCATGTGTTGCATTTGTTTGCTGTTTGTTAATGTAACGATTAGCTTGTAATTACTTAACTCTATTCATTGTTAAACAGGAGCAGGGATGCATGAAAGGGAAAAGTCTGATTGGACATTGTCGAATCCTGAGACAAAATTAATGAAAGATTGGTATTGTAAGTAACTTTTCTTTTTAAGCATTTGTTGTTTTTTTTTTGGGGGGGGGGAGGTTCGGGGACATGTATTTTCTGGGATCACCTACATCTACTGTTCAGATCTAAAGCTAATAATTTGAATTAAGTTTTCTTCTTTCTCCTTAGCAGAAATTGACTTGAAATGACAACTTTTAGAACTGTGACTACTGGATAAAGCTGTTGAAAGGAATTAGAAACACTGATACTTGATGGATTTTTTTTTTTAATTCTTTATTTTATTTGTGCATCGAGTTAACAAGCAGTTTTGCACTGCCACGACAGCTGGTGCAAACATAAATGAAACATGCAGTAACAGTAGTGTAGCATCAGAAACATTGCACATTTTTAAATTATAGCAGGAGTAACTTATTAGACATATCAGGCTGCGACACAGTGCTAGTGGTAGCTGTAGTTAGGTTAGCTGGGTGCTCTAACACACTGGGAATGTGTAGGTCTTTTGATTAAAGGCACAGCACCCATGGGTGTCACCAGAGTGATATTAACTATGTTAAAGCAGTTGGAAAGAAAACTCACAACATTAACAATATCATAGTGTAGGCGTTTCTTGGTAAAATGGGTAACACACATAGTAATTGCTTAACTGATATATAATAGATTACATGAAAGGTAATACTCGTTTGGGAGTAGTTAGTAATTAAGGGTGCTCACTTTGCCGGACTCTTAATGGCACAACGGCTGGGTCTTCTTAGATGTCAGGCTATACATTGACACTGCCGGGTATGGCGATCAGTAGGTAGTTAGGGAGTATTATATCCTTGGTGTCAAGGCTAGTTATATTCCCCTGTATGCTTTGTCAGCTTTGTGTGGCGTCGGGAAGGAGGCCGTCCCTCCCGCGCCTGCCATGTGGGTAGGCCTTAGGCCTTTGCCGAGTGGATTTTGCTTGTCTGGTAGCTTGATTGGTATCATATTAATCTTCTCGGTGTTTCCCCACGTTTGGAGGCTTTTCTGACACGATTGATCACTGGTTTGACTGTGATAAACAGCTTTATTTGTCGCTTGTTGCAGGAGCTACTGAGGCTAACGTCCTCTCAGCTCTGCGGTCAGGCCCCGTCCCCTTGATGGATTTTTTAAACCTTCAGACACAGAAATTTTCTCTATACCTGACTTAATTTAAATTATATTTTTAATAACTTGATATTATTTAGTCACTGTTTTGAAACATCAGCTATATTAGCTTATAATAAGCTAAAAAGTTTTGCTTTGTGAAAAAAAGTGTACAATTTGACTTCATAAAAAATAAAAAACAAAGGAAAAAAAGCAGACAACGATTGACAAAAAATAAAGTTGGTTGTTTTCAATAGGCCAAGTTCTAGGCAAGATAAATTAAACTGCTGCCCAAGTTTATATATCTAATATATACATTAAAGCAGTTATTTTTCTGTCTCAGTGCCCCAGCCCCCAGCCCAAGGATACCTCCTTATAATTCCACCATGCCCCCCATCCCCCACAACCATTTTTGGCCCTGAGATGAGTGCAACTTACCTTGTGCCTAAAGCAGAGGGGGGTTTTGGACATACCAATGGGGCAATACAAAAAGGTGACAGATCCACTTTAAACATAAAGTTTGTATGTATTCATAGCCACCAGCCAGTGGGTCTGAGATTTGATGTCACCATTTTTATGTCTTACCATTGTAAACAAATGATCTCTTTGTAAAAATCTTTAGATAATACAGTTTCACGTGAAAGTTAGAAAAAGTCCTGTGTTACTTATATTTGATAGACTGCTTTACAACAAAATTATTTTGTTAAATCAAATAGAAATATGGAACAAAATGTAAGTAGGCACAAAAACCTTAAATTCCACAAATTTAAATTTAATTTTACTTTTATGATAAGTGCTACTGGGGAAGTGGCATAAAGGCGAATCTATCATTGTACTCTTTCTAATCCTATTTAAACAAAGCCTTAGGTTGTTTTCTAGAATATTATTTTCTGTTTCCTATGGTTATAAGTTTTCATATAATGTCAAATTTTTGTTTGTTGTATTACCTGAAAAAAATTCCTTGTATTATGGCATTTTATATTTTTAGATGACCTATTCACCCCAATAAATGTCTCTGGAGTTTTACCTTCCTTCTATCAAATATAAAAAATCCAGTAAAATAATAAAATAACTATTTTAATTAACCACTTACTCCCCCCTCCCCCCATCCATGTGTGTACACGGGCTAACTTTGGTTTTGCATTGCAATTAAAATACCCATTAATAAACTGTATGACCCTTTTTTTAAATTATTTTTGTCATATACAGTGCATGTGACAAACATGCTTTTTGTTTGCTTGTATTCTTGTACTTCAGACCCTACCTGATACGATATAATATACAGTGTGAGCCTTTTTAGGCTTTAATTTCTGTAAAGGGTGAATGCATGTATTAAAAATAAGAATTGTGTAAATTAACAGCTACCTATACAGAACAATTGCTGTTATAATGTATAATTGTCTAGCTATGTATCTCATATTTCAAATAATGTTATAATGATTTCTAATTAAGATACTTTGGTAGTGAAGGTGTTAAATGACAGAAGTATTAGCACATCAGGATGTCTTACAATATGCAGCGTAAATTATTGTGTAATTCGGTGAATCATTGAAAAATTTCTAAACTTCTTGATGTTAATTAGTATCGTGTTGAATGAGTATATTATTGGTATACAAATATACTGAACAAAATTATAAACGCAACACTTTTGCCCCCATTTTTCATGAGCTGAACTCAAAGATCTAAAACTTTTTCCACGTACACAAAAGGCCTATTTCTCTCAAATATTGTTCACAAATCTAGAAAACAGGTAAAGTACCAGTGCTGATATGTAAATAAAATATGATACAGTTATACCAAGAGTTCCACTAATTTTCGGCTGCTGTGACACCCCAATCTTATCTTTCAAAAATACAGTAAAAACCAGTGTATGGGTGAAGCGCTATATACCAAAGTGGAGAAATAATGCCCCGTGATGAACACCAGAATACTGAAAAAATACCTTCTGTTTATATAGTTCACAATAATCCTTTATAGGAATTTCCTAAAAGCATAAACAGAAAAATACAACCATAGTGCAAATCTGTAATAATGAAAGGTGTGGTAGAAGTATACAAAGGTCCCACTCACACTTTTAGGAGCTAAAAGAGTATAGTTCAATTGAAGCACTTTCAGAGTCCGTAGAGGCGACTCTTATTCCTTCTTTTAACTCTTCCTTTCTTGTATTCTGGAATGTATAAAGGGAAATACCTCTGGTGCAATAACGTAGGCTGGAAGTGTATATAATAGAAAGGGAAATAGGGTACTTACAAACCCAGAGCCATCCACATCGGCTCTGATCCAATAGCTTATGTGGATTAAGGACCACACTCCTTCTTTATGAATAGCAGGAAAATGCCAATAGTGTATCTCAAAAATATAAACTTTATTGACTATATATACAATATAAGTGCAATATAAATATAAAAAAATATATATATACAAAAAACACTATAATGGCATAAAAAGTCCAGTAAATCAAAAGTCTTTAGCTCACAAAATTCCCAGGACGCGTTTCGCCGTGAAGGCTTCCTCAGCTGGATGTGAAAAAATCTGTTACCTTCTTGTACTGGTTCCTGCTATATGTACCCCTCCTGGGGTGAAGATGCTTGCTTTTCGGCTTGAATTTTCGCGGGCTATCGCCATGGAAATGGTGACGCCCAGCGTGTCAAGCCTCTTTCCTTCTCCATTTCCGGGTTTTCGCTGTCGGAACGTCACTTCCGGTTTTTTCGATCGCAAGCCGTCGCGTCATATCCGTGCGTTCCAGCTTGCGTTCCAGATGCGTTCCGGCTTGCTGTTCAACTTTCCTGTGTTATATTACGCCGGCATCATCGCGGGCAGAAAGGAGGAGAACACAACATTTATACATATTCATTAAATTCTACAAGTCTTCACCAAAATTCTTTTGTGTGTAATTTCAGTAAAGAAATCATATGTATACAAACTTTCATATAATACAAATATATAGCCTTATTTGCTCTTTGCTATTAAGGCAATCAAAAAATAGTGACTTTGTACATAATTATAAAAACCCAAAATTATATATATTCCACTATAGATCGATATAAATATTTAACCTTATCCTTGTCACATATAAAAATAAAAATAAAAACACTTATACAAGAAATAACCCCTAAGAATAAATAAAACCATACATATGCACTAAAAATGTATATATACACAGAAGATAAAAATCCACTTAGGGAGAATAAAAATTCACAGGAAAAATAAAACTATAAAAGAGACTGAAGATCTAAAACAACCTATTTCAAAAAATGACACATTTCAAAATCTGCATTTAATCCATTAGGAATCAGAGTGTCTAATTTAAATTAGTGTGTGAATAGTGTGAGTGGGACCTTTTTATACTTCTACCACACCTTTCATTATTACAGATTTGCACTATGGTTGTATTTTTCTGTTTATGCTTTTAGGAAATTCCTATAAAGGATTATTGTGAACTATATAAACAGAAGGTATTTTTTCAGTATTCTGGTGTTCATCACGGGGCATTATTTCTCCACTTTGGTATATAGCGCTTCACCCATACACTGGTGTTTACTGTATTTTTGAAAGATAAGATTGGGGTGTCACAGCAGCCGAAAATTAGTGGAACTCTTGGTATAACTGTATCATATTTTATTTACATATCAGCGCTGGTACTTTACCTGTTTTCTAGATTCTATTTTTTAGTATTTTTCTTATGTTTATACTATTTGTACTCAGCAGCTAAAAGGTAACAATATGACACTATTCGACAAAAGAAGCAGTTCATTTACTAATATGGAGACAGAAATAGCAAATTGGACAGATTCACAATCTAATAAAAAAAGAATAGGACAAAATAGTGGTGGGGATCAATTGGAAAAACTGCTTCAAAAAGAACTTAAGATAAAATGGGAGATAGCTACATTAGAAAAATATCTGAAAGAAGGAATACGTAGAAAAAGTCTTAGATCTTTGAGTTCAACTCATGAAAAATGGGGAAAAAAACAAAAGGGTTGGGTTTATAATTTTGTTCAGTTTAGGTGTGCAGATATAACAGCATTTCTCAAACAAGTCCTCAAGACCCACCAACAGTCCAGGTGTTGTTAGTATCTCCATTGGAATAAAACAGGGAAATACATAGATCCTGGACTGTTGGTGGGCAATGAGGACTGGTTTGAGAACCAATGAAATAGAACAGTATGAGTGACTTCAATAAAAGTGCTGATTTTCACCTTTTCAAAATGTTTTTCAGTCATGGTATTGCACTTTAAATAGAGCCAAAACAAATGTTTCCCCATATTTTAAGTAGATTAACTGTGCTACTTGTTGAACCCAACAGTTACACTTTATTTTATTTAAGGACAGGATCAGATTTGGTATTACAGCAACTCTAGACCTTAACTACCTTTCACGCTACTGTCAGAGGTTACTGGTTGCATCACTGTAGAATAGTGATGACGGACAATGATATCAGTGTTTACCTTTTTAGACACAAGATTTCCACTGCTTCCACATGGTAAATATCCCTTGCTTTCCAATCTTGTAGAGACACCTGTATGTCCTTCCTGGCTTAAAGAGTTAATACAAGGAGTGTCAGTTTTTGTATTTATTAGATTCTGGGAATTTTTATTTCTCAAACTATATTTAGTAAAAAAATAATGAAAGGTGAAATAGATAGATCATGCCCTTGCAGTATTACTGCACATTTCTCTGCCATTTAGGAGTTAAATCACTTTTGTTTCTGTTTACGCAGCCCTAGTCACACCTCCCCTCACTGTGACTCACACAGTCAGCATGAAAATATGGTTTCATTTTCAATCAGATGTTAACTTGCTTTTTAAAAGTTTCCATCTCCTGGTCTGTAAATTCTACTTTAATCACATACAGGAAGCTCCTGCAGGGTCGAGCAAGCTACTACCAGTGCAGTGGACAACAAACTCTGCAAAAAAGGAAGTTTAAACATTAGATCTCTATTTACAGGAAGTGTTTTTGAAGGCCGTGCAAGTCACATGCAGGGGGTGTGACTAGGGCTGTGTAAACAAAGTATTTTAACCCCTAAATGGCAGAAAATTGAGCATTGAGACTGCTCTGACATGATCTATACACCAAATGTCTTCAGCATAAGTTGTTTTGGTGCATATAGTGATTCAAGAACTGGTAGAGTGGTTCATATAGTATTTTTGACTATTCACTAAACTAATGGATTTATTCATGAAACAGTAAATAGTAGTAAAATGGAAAGTGAAATAAAAAATATAGGCCAAAAATAGCCGGCTGAAAGATATCCACAATCTGTTCTTTATCTTGTATAAATATTAATTATCATAAAGCTCTGTAATATGAATTTAAAGTTTGAAAATCAGACAGCACAGAAAGTTCTTAAGAACATTTTACGAGCAGAACTTTTCTCAAGCATTTTGAACAATTTTTGGGGCTCATTCCTAAAAAACCAAATTGAACAAATTATAAACTAGAAAAATTACGTTAAGATAACTGATTTGGCAACATTCTCCAGCTCAAGTAAGGTCACAGCTTGGCTATTTCAGTCTGAATTTTGCAATTTGGTTTTCATTTAATCAGAATTCAATTTTTTAGTAAAAAAAAACAAAAAAAACTATTCTCTATCCTCCTGTGTTTTACTTAAGGCAACTACATTCTCTTTTATGCACATTTCACTTTGCTCCTAATCTCTTTCATTTTACAAAAACACAAATAATATGAATATACTAAATATAAGTCATATAAAGACATCTCATCCAAGTGTCCATTTACCTAAAATAAACCTGTGAAGCATATTTTGCTTTATTCCTAAATATCTTTTTTTCCCCAACTAAAATGTCCAACTGCTGACATCATTAGAATGTATAAATCTTTCTTCTAGATTTGTGATGTTAAACAAACCAATCTAGTCATTCAAGTTTTTAATTAAGGATTCAGCGTTGCATCTCTTTCAAGACATTAAAATTCAGGTGCAGTCATTAATCTTTCTAAATGAATTCACCTGTGGCAAATACTGATGTATTTCCTATGAAACTTGTCATGGACTGCAAACTGCATGCATAACCACTCCATAGTTAATTACACAAGGGATTATCGTTAGTGTCATAAAAGATAAAACCATGCTAGGAGCATCACATAGATATTTAAGCAATGCAACGATTCATTTTTGTTGGCAGCAACATAAGTATTTAAGAATATTAAAAGTTAATTTACATCATAGCTGAATTGACACAACAGGTCACCAGAAGGTCATGCTCCAATAATATCTGATGAGAATATCTTAATTATCATAAAATGAGGCTATTGGCTTACAAAGAATCATACCTGGAGTAATAGATTTTACATATGATGTTCTGCTTTCTGATCTTGTTAAAATAGCAAATGCATGTTTCATTTTTCAAAAATGCATGTTTCATTTCCCCCCTATAACACTGCATTGTAGCAACATTACATATTTAAAAGGCAATTTGTAAAATTAAGTTTTTTTTTTTTTTCATCGAATATTATTCAGAGAGAAAGCTAGTTGTATTAACAAAAGCACTGTATAAAATATATAACACTGAGCAAAGCATATTAATATTTTTGCACCTCGGTTTATGTTTTCTGTTCTATATGTTAATTAAGATATCACCACAAGATATATGTAAATAAGGTCTAGATGCGTCCTTTTTAAAGGGTCTGTGAATTATTATTTGTGATAAATATTTTGCAGATGAAAATGAATAAAGATTTTTTGCAAAGATAAACAGGAACTCTACAAAACTGTTTGCCCCTTTCCTTCCACCAACTTATCAATGTTTTATCCTTATGCTTACTGAGCAAGTTTCACAATACTGAATTGCAAATATTGTCATGTTTTTTCTCTTGTACATCTTTGCATTACTACTATGAATAATGCCAATAAATGAATAAGAATAAAAAAAAATATGTGTCAAGCTACTCACTTCCATGGACTTGCCACAGCTTGCCTACTTTATAGTCAGTGTTCGGCTACTGTAGCCTGTAGGTTGCAGGATTGTATTTATTTGGAATTCTAGTGGGCTTAATATGGGCAGCATATGAATACAGCCACCACAATAAAAGGTATGAGGTATATGAGGATACCAGGTAGACACATGGTAAAAGGCGTTACAAGGGGTATAAGGACTTCAGGTACCAGATAATAAGATTTGATACAGCTACAATGCTTTGTAATGTACGTACCTTACAAGTGTCCCTATTTAAGTGGGACAGTCCTTATTTTTTTTTTCCCAAAACTCTTTGCCCCTCTTTTCTATCCCACTAACTTTATGAAAACTCTTTCATAGGAGCTCTATATTGTTGCTGTGTATGATGTATAACAGAGCTCCAAAGCAATAATACTCACAGTAATGTGTCTTTAAACTCCATTACTCCAACAAGTTTAGAAACCAGGATGTGTAAAATAAGATACATTGTTCTTGTTCTAAATGACATTTTAGTTGAATACATTGTTTTTAGTAAGAAACTAAAAATATCTCAGAACAGCCTTGTCCCGGGTCACATCCCTCACGCAGTTAAAGTGTCTATTTGAAATATTGGGAGATGTATTCCCTGACATTGTTATGCTCGTTGTACATTCCTCCATATACGTTTATTGTGGGGGTGTTAACATAAGAGAAACTACAACCAAAGTGTAAAGTGTTTGTGAATGTATGAGGATATTAAATGGATGGGGTGCGTGGTATGCATTCACACATTTCTCACATTACAGATATTGAGCTACAGCTCTTTCCTCATGAAAGTAAACAGAGACGATGGATGTCCATAGAGTAGAGCAGCTATCCTTAGTAGTCTATGCAGACTGTGTGTGTTTACAAAGACAAGAACCCAGTTAACAAAAAGTGAAATAGCTCAATTTGATTATAGCAGTCCCACCATGGACCAGTAGATGGCTTCAGGGATTGGCTTTCCCTTTCTGGAGCACCTTGCAGGAAGTATTCCCCCATTTTTTAGTGTGTGCATTTTACTTGTTTTTTTTTTTTTTTGCGAACATCTGAAAGATAAAAAATAAGAAAATATATATTTTTAATTGTCATCCATCAATTGTGTAGTAGATAGCAGCTTAATGTAGTATCTGTTTGAGGGATTGCCAAAGGATACCAAATAGGGGGGCTGTCTGGTAAACAGACCCCTAATTTAGTATCTTTAAGAAAGGCAATCCACTGTAAGGATACCTGTTTAGGAAATTCTCTACTATATAGCTAAAAGATCTAGTGATACCAATGTCGGGGTGACGTTATATTCTGGCTGCAGGCACACTACAGAGCGGTGCAGAAGGATCACTGTAAGTACATAGCTTCATTGCTGCACATTCATCTCTCCACTAGTATTTTGAGCTGAGTAGGCAGCTGCCAACTGAGAGCCCCTAAAGCGCAGGTCAGGGGAAGCCGCAAGGGCTGCCATAGGCTTATGCCAGAACTGCTTGGGGTCTCTCTCCTGCAGCAGTGTCGGCAACCTGATATGAAATCACACTGTATTTCTAAACAAAAGAGAGGAATGCACATGTATTTATTAAAAATGATCCAGACTCGGGTACACGTTGGACAGTAGTGGTATTCCAGTGTCCTGTATGTTTGTTCATTCCAAGGAGCAACTATGTGATGCCATTCCTCGCAGCTCCCCAGCAAATTGCAAAGAAAAAAACCCTGGCAAACTGGCCACCCGCGACCAGCCCCAGCTTCAGCAACCCACTAGAAAATTTCCCAGGGCCATGTTTGCGTGGGACAAGAAGGGCCTCATAGCATAACACCTAGCTTCAATGGGGAATGAAAAATGTTGCCTCACCTATTTTGCCATTTTACATCACTACACATATAATATAAAATGTAATAGTAGCAAGGGATGAGAGGATGCGTGGGCTTAGAAACATAGAAACATAGAAACATAAAATGTGACGGCAGATGCCCAATTTTCTTAATACTTTCATTAGTCCCTAGCCTTATCTTATAGTTAGGATAGCCTTATGCCTATCCCACACATGCTTAAACTCCTTTACTGTGTTAACCTCTACCACTTCAGCTGGAAGGTTATTCCATGCATCCACTACCCTGATATTATTTTTAAACCTTTGTCCCTCTAATTTAAGACTATGTCCTCTTGTTGTGGTAGTTTTTCTTCTTTTAAATATAGTCTCCTCCTTTACTGTGTTGATTCCCTTTATATATTTAAATGTTTCTATCATATCCCCCCTGTCTCGTCTTTCCTCCAAGCTATAGCTATATGTTGAGATCCTTTAACCTTTCCTGGTAAGTTTTATCCCGCAATCCATGAACCAGTTTACTAGCCCTTCTCTGAACCCTCTCTAAGGTATCAATATCCTTCTGAAGATACGGTCTCCAGTACTGTGTACAATACTCCAAGTGAGGTCTCACCAGTGTTCTGTACAATAGCATGAGCACTTCCCTCTTCCTACTGCTAATACCTCTCCCTATACAACCAAGCATTCTGCTAGCATTTCCTGCTGCTCTATTACATTGTCTGCCTACCTTTAAGTCATCAGAAATAATCACCCCTAAATCCCTTTCCTCAATTGTTGAGGTTAGGACTCTATCAAATATTCTGAACTCTGCCCTTGGGTTTTTTGACGTCCAAGATGCATTATCTTGCACTTATCCACATTAAATGTCAGTTGCCACAATTCTGACCATTTTTCTAGTTTACCTAAATAATTTGCCATTTGGCTTATCCCTCCTGGAACATCAACCCTGTTACATATCTTAGTGTCATCAGCAAAAATACATACCTTACCATCAAGACCTTCTGCAATATCACTAATAAAAATATTAAAGAGAATGGGTCCAAGTACAGATCCCTGAGGTACCCCACTGGTGACAA